AGAGAGAGAGAGAGAGAGAGAGAGAGAGAGAGAGAGAGAGAGACAGTGGCTGCTCTGCCTCCACGAACACCTTGCTCTGAGTCAAGGTGCCGGGCAGATTACCCCAGGTCCATCCCGATCTATGTGAGCAACGGCACCTTGTAGCCAGGCGTGTTACCTGAAGGTTTATTTCCACGTGACGCGCAGGTAGCTACCTCGATAAACCGATCGATATAATTTTTCCCTGCAAAATAATACATAATCAAACAACCTGGGGAAAACTGCGAAGTGAACCTGTTTTTGCATTTACTTCCTTCATGCCCCTGCGTTTCCTGATGTCCTGTTGACAAATTTGCATTTGTACCCCTTTAAAGAGGGGATCGGATCCAGCGGCCTAGCTCAGTTGGCAAGGCAGGCAAGTGGCATTTTGGACATCTTCGGTTCAATCCCCATCGGCCTCATGTACCTTTCTGGCCAAGCTTGTGCCCGCCAGTGGCCGTTGGTCCACCCAAGCCGCGTTGAGCAGAGACTGCCAACGCTCCTAAGGGGAGGGGACCGGAGGGGAGGCACAGAGGCTGGCCCATCGAAGAACCTCGTTCCTGATGCTACTGGCTGACCCCTGGCCGTATTGCCCACCTGCTGCTGGGTGCAGCTCCTGCATGACCCCTCGTTGGAGGCTTGAGCATGGATGTGGCTGCTACGGGGCTCCCCTTATACTACAATCACAAACACACGGTTAACGGGGGACCAAAAATTTACGGTTTTCGCCAACAATTTCAGTGCAAAATTCAGCAAAAAATTCATAAACAAATTATATGGGCCCAATAGTGCAAATATCAAAATAACAAATATATCCAGCGGCAGTTGGTAAGGCACGCAAGTGGCATTCAGGAGGTCTTGGGTTCAATCCCCGTTGGCCTCATGCACCTTCCTGGGCAAGCTTGGCGCCCGCCACCTAGAGATATGCTGTTGGCCCCCCCGAGTGGCATTGAGCAGAGATTGCCGATGTTCATAGGGGGAGGGGACCGGAGGGGAGGCACAATGACTGGCCCATCAAAGAAGCTCGGTCCCGATGCTACCGGCTGACCCCTGGCCGGTATCGCCCACCTGCTGTAGCAGGTATCGCACCTGCTGGTGGGTGCAGCTCCCGCATGTT